GGAAGAGAAAGAGGAAGAAGAAAAGGGAAAAAGAAGGAGGAGGAGGAGGAAGAAGAGAAAGAGGAAGAAGAAAAGGGAAAAAGAAGGAGGAGGAGGAAGAGAAAGAGGAAGAAGAAAAGGGAAAAAGAAGGAGGAGGAGGAAGAGAAAGAGGAAGAAGAAAAGGGAAAAAGAAGGAGGAGGAGGAAGAAGAAGAGAAAGAGGAAGAAGAAAAGGGAAAAAGGAGGAGGAGAAGGAAGAAGAGAAAGAGGAAGAAGAAAAGGGAAAAAGAAGGAGGAGGAGGAGGAAGAGAAAGAGGAAGAAGAAAAGGGAAAAAGGAGGAGGAGGAAGAGAAAGAGGAAGAAGAAAAGGGAAAAAGAAGGAGCAGGAGGAGGAGGAAGAAGAGAAAGAGGAAGAAGAAAAGGGAAAAAGAAGGAGGAGGAGGAGGAAGAGAAAGAGGAAGAAGAAAAGGGAAAAAGAAGGAGGAGGAGGAAGAGAAAGAGGAAGAAGAAAAGGGAAAAAGAAGGAGGAGGAAGAAGAGAAAGAGGAAGAAGAAAAGGGAAAAAGAAGGAGGAGGAAGAAGAGAAAGAGGAAGAAGAAAAGGGGAAAAGGAGGAGGAGGAGGAGGAAGAAGAGAAAAGGCTCAGTGTTGCCACAACAACAGAAAAAGAAAAGATTTGTTCTCGTGTTGCTGCAAGACGAAGAAGAAAAAGATGAAGAGGAGGAAGGGGAAGAAGGGGAAGAAGAGGAGGAGGAGGAGGAGGAGGAAGGGGAAGAGGAGGAGGAGGAAGAAGGGCAAGAGGAAGAAGAGGAGGAGGAAGAAGGAGAAGAGGAGGAGGAAAAAGAAAAGGCTCAGTGTTGCCACAAGAATAAAAAAGTCTTGTTCTCCTGTTGCCGCAACAACAGCTTCATTCTCCTGTCTCCCCCGCCCCCCCGGTCTGGACCACTAGCGGAGGAGAGCAAAGGAGGGACCCCAGATGACCACAGGGTCCCGGGTTCAAGTGAGTGAAGACAGTCCAGTTGCAACGGAAATTCCCCCCCCCCCCCCCGCAAATTGGGTGAAATTCAGCCGGAAACGCAAGCCGCCCGGCCTCCCCCGGCCCTACTCGGGAGTTGCGTTGAGGGGGGAGACCACTCAAGGTCTGTAAATGTCGATTTACAAAGGGATAGAATAATTTCATGTATAACTTGGAATACTTAATGTGATTGGATTGGATTGTGAAAACGAAAAACTGAACGAAAATGATTTTTTAAAAAAAAGAATTTCTATAGTACTTGTTTTTGATTTAAGTTTTCATTGAAACGAGGCCGTATTTGAATGTTTTGATGTTTTAATGTTGTATTTTAATCTTGTTTTTAAGTTGCATTTCAACCAATTGGTTTTTCTATTGGGCATTAGCTGCCCTGAGCCCGCTCTTGGCTGGGGAGGGCAGGGTACACATAAAAAATATTATTATTATTGAATGTCAATTTGCAAAGGGATAGAATAATTTCAGGTCTAATTTGGAATACTTCATGTGATTAGATTGGATTGTTAAAATGGAAAACTTAACAAAAATGGTTTTTTTTTTTTTAAAAAAAGAATAATTTCGATGGCGGCTGCATCTCCATCGCTGATTCTCTCTCTCTCTCTCTCTCTTTTGCAAACGACAGAAAGAACGTAAATTTGGAGCCTGGTTCGCAATGGGGTTTAGGTTTTTTTTGCAACAATTCTGATTGCTTGTGTCTCAAGGTCTGCAAACGTCAATTTGCAAAGGGACAGAATAATTTCATGACTAATTTGGAATGCAGGTGAAACTCGAAAAATTAGAATACCACGGAAAAGTTCCTTTCTTTCAGTAGTTCAACTTGAAAGGGTTTCCAATGGGTTTTGGGGTTTTTTTTGCAACAATTCCGATTGCAAACGTGTCTCCGTTGCTTTCCTCCTTGCATGGAGGGGGGGACCAGTTTTGCAGCCGCCCACTTCCTAAGGGAATAAGAGGGCTGCAAACCCAAAAATCCGGTTTGGGTGCAATTGCGACTCAAGGAGGACCTTCGAATGACCTTTGGAAGTGGTGGGGGGGAGAAGCGGGATAGAAGGAAGAGAAAGGGGTTATTGTTGTTGTCATTGTTATTATTATTATTAAATGTCGATTTGCAAAGGGATAGAATCTCCAGCGCCGTTCTCTCTCTCTCTCTCTTTTTTTTTTTTTTTGGAAAAAAATTTGGAGGATCAGCCTGGTTTGCAATGGGGCTTTTTTTTGCAGCAATTCTGATTGCTTTGCTCCTTGCATGGAGGGGGGGGAACCAGTTTTGCAGCCACCCGCTTCCTAAGGGATAAGAGGGTTGCAAACCCAAAAAATCTGGTTTGGGTGCAATTGCGATATTTGGCCAAGGCACAGCCTGACCCTCTCTTTTAATACCTCACCGGACTCTAGCCCAATGTTTGCCATTAATTTGATTTTGAACTGATTTTAGAATGAATTGATTTTAGAACGATGCATTATTTTGTTGTTTTGGTTTTTTCCCCAATTTTTTTTATTAATTGTCCAAAAAAATTTGAAACAAACATACATCCTATTTGTAATTAAACCAATCTTGATAACATTGTTAAGTGACTTCCTCAAATCCCCCTGGTTGAATTTCATTATATATCATTTTAACAGTTTTCCAAAATCAATCTTCTCAAATTATCTTGATCACTTAACATCTTTCATTCTTTCTAATCTGGCTTTAGACATCTTAATTCCTATCCTTACAAATTTAAATCCTAAGCCTATCTCATGTTGTTTTCTTGTTGTCAGGCGCTCTGAGCCCGGCTTCGGCTGGGGAGGGTGGGCTATAAGTAAAAAAAATATTATTATTATTAAGAAGGACCTTCGAATGACCTTCGGACGGAGAGGGGGAAGCCGGATAGAAGGAAGAAAAAGGAGAATAAAGGGGTTGCAATTGGGGGGGTATTATTTGTTTTGGGTTTTCCCACCGCAATATAAAAGGCCGGCTTTGCATTTGCATGGGGCCCTTTCGATTGATCCGAGGGGTTGTAAAATATTCAAGGCGGGCACTGAAACTTCGGGGGGGGGGGGATTATTGATCGTGGGGGGAGAAGGGAGCGGCCAAGGAGGAAGGAAGGATCCTTCAAAGGGAGGAAAATGAACCATTTATAGTGGAATTGGCCCCCCGTCCAAACATGCCCTGCATGATTTATGGGGGGGGGGGAGGAAAAGAAAGGAGAATGGTCGGGGGGGCATCCTGGGAAGGGGGGAAGGGGGAGATGCCAGCCGATTTGGGAGGGGGGAGAAAAGTGAAGGAAGAGAAAATAGGGGGAGATGGGGTCGATTTCAAATGAATTTACACACACACACAAGCATATATATAAACAAACACACAAACATATATATACATATATATATATATATTATTATTTTTTTCCGGGGGGGAAGAGTGAAGGATGAGAAAATAGCGGGAGAAGGGGATAGAGTTCAAGTGGATTTATACACACACACAAACATATTTGGGGTCGGGAAGAGTGAAGGAAGAGAAAATAGGGGGAGATGCGGTAGATTTCAAGTGAATTTACACACACACACACACACACACACACACACACATATCTATATATATACATATATATATCTCTATACATACACACACACATATACATATATTTTGGGGGGGGAGAGTGAAGGAAGAGAAAATAGAGGGAGATGCGGTAGATTTCAAGCATATATATATGTGTGTGTGTGTGTGTGTGTGTGTGTGTATACACACTACACACACACATATAAAAAAGGTAAAGGTACCCCTGCCCGTATGGGCCAGTCTTGCCAGACTCTAGGGTTGTGCGCTCATCTCACTCTATAGGCCGGGAGCCAGCGCTGTCTGCAGACACTTCCGGGTCACGTGGCCAGTGTGACAAGCTGCATCTGGCGAGCCAGCGCAGCACACGGAACGCCGTTTACCTTCCCGCTGTTAAGCGGTACCTATTTATCTACTTGCACCCGGGGGTGCTTTCGAACTGCTAGGTTGGCAGGCGCTGGGACCGAACGATGGGAGCGCACCCCGCCGCGGGGATTCGAACCGCCGGCCATGCGATCAGCAAGTCCTAGGCGCTGAGGTTTTACCCACAGCGCCACCCGCGTCCCTACACACACACACATATATATAAATATAAATATGGGTAAAGAAAGAAAGGGGCATAAGGAAGACACTCCAAGTGCCCCCCTTTTCCGGGTCTGGTCCTATAACAGGACAGGACACCCCAATTTTCATCAGAGAATGGTCGGAGGGTCTGTGGCAGTAAACTTATTTTATGGAAATTATTATGGAACAGGATGTCCCGATTTTCATCCGAGAAAGGCTGGAGGGTCTGTGGCAGTTTTATTTTATTAAACTTATTTATTATTTTATTAAACTTATTATTATTATTATTACTATTATTATTATTATTATTACTATTATTATTATCATTGAACAGGACATCCCGATTTTCGTGAGAGAAAGGATGGAGGATATGCAAATGTAGGCTTATTTTATAAAATGACAGTTATACATGGAGCTGCTTGGCGCGGGAGCCAGATCTATTATTATGATATTCTCATTCTCTGTATAATTAATTATAAATTATAATTATTGATCATTAGGAACATTGACACCTTCCCGCAATGTCAACGTTTTCATGCACCGTAAACCACCTTGAGATTTTTAATTTAAAAAAAGACATAGACCGGTCTAGAAACGAACGGGAATAAAATAATACAGTGGTGCCTTGCAAGACGAAATTAATTCGTTCCGCGAGTTTTGTCGTCTTGCGGTTTTTTTCGTCTTGCGAAGCACGGTGTCGGGAAAGTTTTGGAAAAGCTTCAAAAATCACCAAAGTCTTTAAAAACCTCAAAAAGGCTACCACACCGCTGTTCTATGAGTTGCTCCTCGAAGTCAAGTCGCAACTGTATTAACGGTGTTAAGAAAAAGGAAACAAACTTGCAAGACGTTTCCGTCTTGCGAAGCAAGCCCATAGGGAAAATCGTCTTGCGAAGCAGCTCAAAAAACAAAAAACCCTTTCGTCTAGCGAGTTTTTTGTCTTGCGAGGCATTTGTCTTGCGAGGTACCACTGTAAAATTAGGGTGTTGCAATTATTTATCGTTATTAACGATAAAGGGGGGAGCCATATGTATGCAGTACGATATTCTAGAGCGTACAGTTTACATACTGATTAAATTGAAATATAATATAATAGAAAAATATCTATTATTACAGATTATACAACAAGATAGTTTTATATTATAATACAAACTATCTATTATTATAGATTATATAATAATATAGCTTTATATTATATTATAATACTAAAGCATCTGTTATTGTAAATTATATAATATTAAAATAGTTTTATATTACATTATAATACAAAATTATCTATCTATTATTACAGATTATATAATAATGAGATAGTTTTATATTATATAGTGATACTTCAATTATTTGTGATTTTTATACAGCGGTATAGAAAGGAAGTGGATCATGACAATATAATAACATAATAATTTTATGATGTTGTATCTATAATGTCCCCCTTTCTTCCATCCACCGACCAATTTTTTTGGTGGGGCCCAAATCTATTAGGATATTCCAATTCTATACATTTCCAAATTCTACTTCTCCATCATATTATATTATAATTATATTATATTGTTCAGGGAAGTTTTTAAGGTGTGACATTTTAGTGTATTTTTGGTCTTTGTTGGAAGCTACCCAGAGCGGCTGGGGAAACGGAGCCAGATGGGTAGGGTACAAATAATGAAGTATTATCAATACAGTGGCACCTCGGGTTAAGTACTTAATTCGTTCCGGAGGTCTGTTCTTAACCTGAAGCACCACTTTAGCTAATGGGGCCTCCTGTTGCTACTGTGCCGCCGGAGCCCAATTTCTGTTCTTATCCTGAAGCAAAGTTCTTAACCTGAAGCACTATTTCTGGGTTAGCGGAGTGTGTAACCTGAAGCGTATGTAACCCGAGGTACCACTGTATTATTATTATTATTATTATTATTATTATTATATTACCATTATTTCTTGTTATAAACGAAGGCCCCCCTTTCTTCCACTCACCGGCCAATATTTTGCGGGCCCCCCAAATCTATTACAATATTCTAATTCTATACGTTTCCATATTCTGCTTTACATATTTTTATATTATATTACCATGATTTCTTGTTATAAATGAAGGTCCCCCTTTCTTCCATCCGCCAATCTTTTTTTCTGGGGGTGGGGGGGAGCCAGCAAAATCCCTTACAATTTTCTAATACAGTGGTACCTCGGGTTAAGTACTTAATTCATTCCGGAGGTCCGTTCTTAACGTGAAACTGTTCTTAACCTGAAGCACCACTTTAGCTAATGGGGCCTCCCGCTGCTGCTGTGCCGCTGCTGTGCAATTTCTGTTCTCATCTTGAAGCAAAGTTCTTAACCTGAGGTACTATTTCTGGGTTAGCGGAGTCTGTAACCTGAAGCATATGTAACCCGAGGTACCACTGTATTGTAATATTCAAATGATACAATATTCTTCCCATACCCTCCTTCCCAATATCATCCCATCGCGTGTCACTTGGCTTGCGGTCTGCAGAAACAAAACAATTCACAATGAAATTATGTTATTATTATGTTGTAACAACCAAATATTATTACAATGTTACAATAACAAGATAAAAATGTTATGATACTGTAACCATTGATGATTAGAAACAAAGGGGAACACTTTTTTCCTTTTTCTTGAAATGAAAGCTTCCCCCCCCATTTTTTCATTTCCCCTTTTTTATATTCCCCCTTTCTTATTTCCCCCTTGTTTTTCCCTTCCCCCTTTTATCTTTCCCCCCCTTTCCTTCATTTTTCATTTCCCCCCTTTATTTCCTTTATTGCCCTTGTTTTTCCCTTTCTTCTTCCCCCCTTTTTTCTCCCCCTCCTCCCCGTTTTTCCCTTTTCTTTTTTCCCTTTTTCTCCCCTTTATTTTCTCTCTTTCCCCCCTTTTATTTCCTTTATCCCCCGTTATTCCCTTTCTTCTTTTCCCCCTTCCCCTTTTTTTCTCTTTTCTTCTTTTTTCCCTTTCCCCCACTTCTTATTCCCCTTTCCCCCCTTTCCCCCATTATTTCCCTTCCCCCCCCTTTTTCTCGTTTTCCCCTTTTCTGCTTCTTTTCTACCTTTCCCTTTTTGCCCCCCCTTGATTTCCTTTTTCTTCTTTTTCCCCTTTTCCCCCATTTGTTGATCCCTTTTTTCTTTCCCCTTTTCCGTTGTTTTTCCCCCTTCCCCCTTTTCTCCCTCCTCCCCCTTGCTTTCCCCTCCCCCCTTGTTTTTCCCATTTCCCCCTTTCCCCCTTTTTTTCCTTTTCCTTCTTCCCCCTCCTTTGCCCCTTTATTTCTCCCCTTCCCCCTTCTTTCCTCCCTCCCCTTGCTTCCCGCCCCCCCGTTTTCCATTTCACCCCTTTATTCCCCCCCTTGCTTTTCCCATTTCCCCCTTTATTTCCTTTTCTCTCTTCCCCTCCCTTTGTCCCTTTATGTATCCCTCTTTCTTTTCCCCTTTTCCGTTATTTTCCCCTCCCCCCCTTTCCTATCCCCCTCCCTCTGCTCCCCCCCCCCCGCTTTCCCCATTTCCCTTCCTTTCCCCCCTTTGTTTATCCCCCTTGCTTTCTCCCCCCTTGCTCCCCCCACGCCCCCTTTTCCTTCTCCCCTCGGGCTTACCGTTCTGAGGCGGAGGGGGCGGCGGAGGGGGCGGCGGAGGGGGCGGCGGCGGCGGCCTCGGGGTTCCCGGCGTCCTCCGTCCTGCTCCGGAGGCGGCTCCGGGCGGCGGCGGCGGCGGCTCGTCGTCCATGTCTCTCAGGCGGGCGTGGGAGGCGGAGGCGGAAGCAGCAGCCGCGGCGCCCCGGCGCGCCCGGCGCCCATCGCCGCCGCTCCCCGAGCGACCTGACCGGACCGAGCGACGCGACCTGACTGTCGGACCGCGAGCGCCCCCGCCCCGGCCCAGCGCGCCGCTCCGTACTGCGCACGCGCCGTCCCGCCCCCTCGGTGGTGCCGGTGGCGCGGATTGGCCGGAGGAGGAGGGGCCCGCCAGGGCGCACGCGCGGCTCCGCCTCCGCGCCCCGACCGACGCCATTGTCCGCCCAGAGACGCGGCGGTGCGCACGCGCGGGGGATAGGCGCACGCGCAGAAGCGCCTCCCCGCCAAACCTGCTCGACGGACTGACGGCGCACGCGCAAAATTAACATCGCCGTGCTGACTGCGCACGCGCAGAATCACCTCCCCGACGGGCCTGACTGCGCACGCGTCAATAACCTCCTCTCCTCCTCACCTAGAGGGACTGGCTGAGCAATATCAAGTCCCCGCCGGGCTCACTGCGCACGCGCAGAAACACCGCGAGACGGCCCGACAGCGCACGCGCGACCGCTTAACTGACAGGCCGGCGGAGCGGGCCGTTCTGCGCACGCGCGGACACTTCCACGTACTTCTGGGCCGCTTCGGGACGAAACAACTGTCGAAACGACGGAGAACGTGAGGGGGAAACCGAACCGCCGTTTTTTGAGAAATTTAGCGTGGCGGCGGCGCCGGGCGAAGCTACTAGGCCCGGTTTCGCAGTTCCGACCCCCCCGGGGGGAAATGGTCTCTCCCGAAATGGGCCGCCTTTTCCCATAGGCCACGCCCCTCTTTACATATTCAGCGACCCGCCCCCTCATGAATATGAACAAGCGCCATTCAGATGGGAGTTGAAGGATTCATTATTGCCGCGTCATTATTGATTGTTATGATCTTGGGAACAAAGTCATGAGACCTTGTTTTGTTTTTTTATAATATATGTGTGTGTGTGTCTGTAATATATATATATATAAAATAATAATAAAATTTTATATCCCGCCCTCCGCAGCCAAAGCAGGACTCAGAGCGGCTAACAACAGTAAAGCAATACAGCATTCTAAAATCAGTTCATTCTAAAATCAAATTAATGGCAACCATTGGGCTAGAGTTCTGTGAGGATTGCCAAAGGAGGGGGTCAGGCTATGCCTTGGCCAAAGGCCCGGCGGAACAGCTCTGTCTTGCAGGCCCTGCGGAAAGATGTCAAGTCCCGCAGGGCCCTAGTCTCTTGTGACAGAGCGTTCCACCAGGTCGGGGCCATGGCCGAAAAAGCCCTGGCTCTGGTGGAGGCCAGCCTAAACTCCCTGTGGCCCGAGACCTCCAAGATGTTTTTGTTTGAGGACCACGGGACGTACCAGGAGAGGCGGTCCCATAGGTACGAGGGTCCTAGGCCGTATAGGGCTTTGAAGGTTAAAACAAGCACCTTGAACCTGATCCTGTCCTCCACCGGGAGCCAGTGCAGCTGGTATAGCACTTCTTGCTTCCCCAAGGGGGTCCTAGCCATAGCTGTCAACCTTCCCTTTTTCTGTTTTTTTTTTGCAGGAAATTCCCTTCTTCCAGCGCCGTTTCCCGCTGCGTTCCGCTGCTATCCCAGATTGTTGTCCCCGGGACAGGTGAGGCTGTAGATCCCTTCTTTTCAAATCAGAAAGTTGACAGCTATGGTCCTAGCCTGTCAACCTTATAATAATAATGATTTATTATATATACCCCGCCCATCTGACTGGGTTTCCCCAGCCACTCTGGGCGGCTTCCCAAAAAACACTGAAATACAATGGTCTGTTAAACATTAAAAGCTTCCCTAAACAGGGCTGCCTTCAGATGCCTTCTAAAAGTCTGGTAGTTGTTGTTCTCTTTGACATCTGGTGGGAGGGCGTTCCACAGGGCAGGCGCCACTACCGAGAAGGCCCTCTGCCTGGTTCCCTGTAATTTGGCTTCTCGCAGGAACCGCCAGAAGGCCCTCAGAGCTGGACCTCAGTGTCTGGGCAGAATGATGGGGGTGGAGACGCTCCTTCAGATATACTGGACCAAGGCCGTTTAGGGCTTTAAAGGTCAGCACCAACACTTTGAATTGTGCTCGGAAACGTACTGGGAGCCAATGTAGGTCTTTCAAGACCGGTGTTATGTGGTCTCGGTGACCGCTCCCAGTCTCCAGTCTAGCGGCCACATTCTGGATTAGTTGTAGTTTCCGGGTCACCTTCAAAGGTAGCCCCACATAGAGCGCATTGCAGTAGTCCAAGCGAGAGATAACTAGAGCATGCACCACTCTGGCAAGACAGTCCGCGGGAGGGAGGGTCTCAGCCTGCGTACCAGATGGAGCTGGCAAACAGCTGCCCTGGACACAGAATTGACCTGTGCCTCCATGAACAGCTGTGAGCCAGTGTGGTGTAGTGGTTAGAGCGGTGGACTCGTAATCTGGTGAACCGGGTTCAATTCCCTGCTCCTCCACATGCAGCTGCTGGGTGACCTTGCGCTAGTCACACTTCTTTAAGTCTCTCAGCCCCACTCACCTCACAGAGTGTTTGTTGTGGGGGAGGAAGGGAAAGGAGAATGTTAGCCGCTTTGAGACTCCTTAGGGTAGTGATAAAGCGGGGTATCAAATCCAAACTCTTCTTCTTATTTATCCTTTGAAAACAACATTCCTAGGTTGAAACATTTCTCACCTTAAAAAAAACACACACAAAAACCCCACCAGCTTCAGTTTTTTCTTCTGTTCCCATTTTTACTTTGTTAGTGTTTTCTCTTCAGGTTGACTGTCACCTTTGATCCTTCTTCAGTTTGCCTGGTGTAGCTTTCTCCAGAAGCCACAGAAGCAAGGGGAAAGAGCAGGGCTAAGTACCCTTTGGAGTGTCGCGCAACGGTAAATTAACCACACAGAGTCTTCTTCATAAACAGAATAAAATTTTACTGAAGAAAATAAACTTGTTCAGAAACAGCATAGTCAAAGAGCATACACAGAGTGCTCATAGCAGCCATCTGACTCTTCACAGAGGCACAGTCTTAGTGATTTACTAGAGTCCTGGAGCCGCTCTGTCTGCCTTCGCTTTACATAGCAGCAACGACAACAGCACTACAGTGGTACCTTGTTTTGAGCCTGCCCCGTTTAGGGTCCATTTCGTCGAACCTCTGCGGCAAACCCGGAAGTACTAGAACGGGTTTGCTGTTCGCACACGCGCAGAAGTGCTAAATTGCGCTTAACACATAAGCACTAAATCATGCTTTGCGCATGCACAGAGTGGCGCTTTGTTGAGCGTCCCTTTCGTTGAGTGTCCAGGGCTCTGGAACAGATCCCGGACGCAAAAGGAGGCAGTCATACCTCATGTTACGTCCGCTTCATGTTACGTTCTTTCAGGTTACGTCCCATGGCAACCCGGAAGTACCAGAAAGGCTTCCTTCCAGGTTTCGCCGTTCGCACAGGCGCAGAAGTACGAAATTACGTCACGCGCATGCGCAGAAGCAGCGAATTGCAACCCACACATGCGCAGAGGCGCCGCTGCAGGTTGCGCTCTTTTCATGTTGCGAATGGGCCTCCAGAACGGATCCCGTTCGCAACCAGAGGTACCACTGTATTCCACAGACTACTTCGTACACAACCCATACAGCTCTCTGACTGAGGCCCATAGAGAGACTGGCTACTTTTATAGGGAGAATGAGTCGTCACCCAAGATGAGCCACGAGTCACAGTGACTTAGCAGTTAGCAGGCTTAGGCGTGAATATTGTGTAGGCTTGACTGCTTCTGCTCTCAAGAACCTTTGTCTCATGACATGGAGTCGCCCCTTCCCTCCTGTCTAAAATCTGACTGTGGCTGCAGACCTCAGCACAGTTTCTGAGGAACCAGCCCAAATGGGGTTTGTTGTTGTTTAGTCATTTAGTCATGTCCGACTCACCTGTCTTCCACTGCCTCCTGCAGTTTGGTCAAATTCATGCTGGTAGCTTCGAGAACACTGTCCCACCATCTCGTCCTCCGTCGTCCCCTTCTTCTTGTGCCCTCCATCTTTCCCAACATCAGGGTCTTTTCCAGGGAGTCTTCTCTTCTCCTGAGGTGGCCAAAGTCTTGGAGCCTCAGCTTCAGGATCTGTCCTTCCAGTGAGCACTCAGGGCTGATTTCCATCAGAATGGATCGGTTGGATCTTCTTGCAGTCCATGGGACTCTCAAGAGTCTCCTCCAGCACCAGAATTCAAAAGCATCCATTCTTCGGCGATCAGCCTTCTTTATGGTCCAGCTCTCACTTCCATACGTCACTACGGGGAAAACCATGGCTTTAACTATACGGAGCTTTGTTCGCAAGGTGATGTCTCTGCTTTTTAAGATGCTGGCTAGAAGGTTCACTGAGATCCATGCAAAAGCCTGGTGCCTGGTGACACCACAGTGGGCACTAGCCAGCCGCTGCCCTCCACAGTGGTGCGCCACCTCCTTTCATGTTCAATTCAATGGGACTTGCTTGTGATTAGCGTGATCAGTGGGTCTCCCTCCCTCCCTGCCCTTCCACATTTAAACGGCCCTTCCTGACGGTAGACTGTTCCTGCCAAAAGGTCTCCCCTCCCTAGCCTTAGCAGTGGTAAAACAATGTGAAGCAAGAGACTGGGCTGACATCACCCAGGTGGAGAAATCTAATGCAAAGTAGCTCCATAGCCACCCTCAAACCTCTGCTTCTACCTAACCCAGAACGACCCTCCCTGGGCCCAGCCTTGGTTCTCAATTCCACAGCCCCCTTTTATGAGCTTTGCAGTCTTTGATTCGTTAAGCTGTGTAGAGGAAGAAGAGCAGCTTATCTCCTTTGCTACAAAGCAGACACCCTCAAAATGCCAGCTTGCAACAGGAAAACCAAACCCCTGGGGTGACTAATGATGAGAGCCTGCTGATAGGATAGGCGAGTCTCAAGGAGGATGCCAACTTGGTCTTCTAACTCTTTGCAAACAAAGTAAACTGTGCTCCCTTCCTAGCAGATAACATTTCACCCTCTGCCTCTTAAAGAGAACGGTCTCACAGTAGTATAGCGCTTAGAGTGCCAGGTGGGGGGCCAGGGTTCAAATCCCCCACTCGGCCATGGAGCTCCCTGGGTGACCTCGGGCCAGTCACTGCCTCTCAGCATAGCCTACCTCACTAGGTTTTTGTGGGGATTAAATGAGGAGGAGGAGAATTAATGCATGCCACATTGAGCTCCTTGGAGGAAAAGGTGGATCATAAATACAGCAAACAAACAAACAAACAAACAAACAAACAAGATGCCTCTGGGAGATGCCAGGCAGCAGAGGTGGACTTTGGTCTTTCAAATTTCAGCAGCACCCTGTGCGACGCCAACATTTTACACACACACAGCCATCTTGCCCCCTGTGTCTAATCCCCTTTAAAAGCAGCCAAAAAGTATTGCATAGAAAGAAAACCATTACAGCTGCCCACAAACAGGCACAGCGAGATAGCAAAACTTCAGCAGGAAAAAGACTATGTATTGTGGCATTGAGTTCCATTGTAGGTCATGCTGGTGATGTAAAAATTGGGGTTTTGCTTTTGCTGCCCAACTCCCCATGGGACTTTGAGTCCCCCAAGTCCATGATCGGCCAGAGAAGAATGGATGGAGGCCGGATGCAGTGAAAGCAAGGCAAATCTTTATTTTTCTGTTGTAACAGAGTTCCCTCTCCTCTTTCAAAGGAGGGAGAGACCCTGAACAAAAGTGTCCAGGAACTTTTAAAGACTTTTGACATTGCCCAACCCCCTTAGCCAAAGACCCCTTAGCCACCCCAAAAGCATCATACATACATCATAGGAGGCTGTCTACAGCAGAAATCTTGTCTGCCAGGATACCTGATAATGGTCGCTGACTGCATTAACTGGGCAGCCTGGCCATTCTTTTGTGATGGTTAATACTTTGGTTCCTGAATCCTTCACAGGCTTACCCTATTCATACACAAATACAGTACACCTTTAAGACAGGATTTGTAAGCAAAAAGACAATGGGAAGGCTTTCCCTATTTGCCTCCCTTACTGCAGAGGAATATTTGAGGTCACTGGGAGAGTCAAAATGGCTTCAGGATTGCTCTCCTGTACTATTTCAGACACATGTTTTATATATTTAGATATGCGCACATTTATGAATATTTATTCTATATTTAAGAGCTAATAATAATAATAATAAAACCCAGCAATAATCTTTATTTATACCCCGCCCTCCCTGCCCAAGATTGGACTCAGGGCGGCTAACATCAGGTATAAAAACAATAGATTAAAATACAACTTAAAAACAGGATTATAAAAACAATTGATTAAAAGACAACTTAAAATGCAGCCTCATTTCAGTGGAAGCCCAGATCAAAAACTGTTTGGGGGGATGAAAACATCATCTTCACCAAGGCCAACTATCCAGACTGGTCCTACGTGGGCCAGAAAAAGGCCAGGGAAGTCCCCAAATAGGGGTTCCATCACAGAAGGAGAAAGGAAAAAGGAAAGAGGGGGAGGGAATCAAGTTGATCCCAAGCCAAAGGCCAGGCGGAACAACTCTGTCTCACAGGCCCTGCGGAAAGAAATCAGATCCTGCAGGGCCCTGGTCTCATGAGGCAGAACGTTCCACCAGGCCGGGGCCAGTGTTGAGAAGGCCCTGGCTCTGGTGGAGGCTAATCCGACTTCCTTAGGGCCTGGGACCTCTAGGGTGTTGCTATTTATGGACCTTAAGGCATGCCAGGAGAGGCGGTCCCGTAGGTACGAGGGTCCTAGGCCGCATCCTTATAACACTGGCTTGGGCCGTGGGGGAGTGGGGAGGAATGCACGGATATGAGCAGATAATAATAATAATAATAATAATAATAATAATAATTTTAAAAAATACCCTCCCCTCCCCGGCCAAGACCAGGCTCAGGGCAGCTAACATCAGGTATAAAGACAAATAAAGCAGAAGATAAAGCGGGCCCGTTTTGTATGACAACAGCACAGTGTGAACAGCTCAGGGAGACAGAGCAGGATTAGGACATGCTGCAAATCCACATTTGGCCACTGAGGGGCAGTCGAGCATCATATTTGAGGACAAATTGCTTGTAAGAACCTTTCAGCAATAGAGTCTTTGACCATCTCCATAGGAAAGACCAGCTGTAGCTCCAGTCTGCAAAACGGAACATTTAAATGATGGCTGTATGTCTCCCTTACCCCTTCTTTAGCCTGTTATCTTTTTTTCCTTAAGCCTTAAGCTCTGGCAAGCAGGTTGACAGCAGGTTTCAGCTGGGGGCCGTTCCCTACCTGGGGAGGCTAAGGGACCTTCTGCATTCAGGGCAGGTGCTTGACCACTGAGCCGCAGCCCCTCCTCCTGATGAAACGTTCTATTGACCAGGAGTCTAAGGGACCCTGAGAGGCTGTTCCCTTTGCCTGCTGGAAATAGCATCATGGCATGGGGGAGACCAACCTGCCCCCCTGCTGGCCAGAGAAGCAGCTGCTGCAGCAAGCTTGCTTTCTCCCTGACCCAAGAACTTTGCAACTCAGAACCAGTGCCTGAGTTTGCTTTCCCCTCTTTCTTCCCAATCTCTTTTCCTTTCGTGTCGTGTCTTTTAGATTAAAAGTCTGACGGCAAAGACTGTCTTCTTACTGATCATGCATTTTCCTGGTTGAAGGGAAGAGCAAAATCACATAGCTAATATACAGTGGTACCTCGGGTTACAAGCGTTTCAGGTTACAGACTCCGCTAACCCAGAAATAGTGCTTCAGGTTAAGAACTTTGCTTCAGGATGAGAACAGAAATCGTGCTCTGGCGGCGCGGCAGCAGCTGGAGGCCCCATCAGCTAAAGTGGTGCTTCAGGTTAAGAACAGTTCAGATGAAGAATGGACCTCCGGAACGAATTAACTACTTGACCCGAGGTACCACTGTATTGGTTCACAACTTAGCAGGGGAGCCAACTCGCCCTCCGGATTTTGGTTGAATGCAGGTGGGTGGGTGTGATGTCAGACGTCTTTGTTGCCTATCTCAGTGGCTGCGGAGG